CATGGAAATACCTCTCTCCACATAACCAGTCCCTGGTGCCCAAAAGGTTGGGGACCTCTGCCTTATATAGTACGGATTTAGTGAACGTTCTTCAAAATAATGTTGTATCATCAGGATTGACTATGACATTCCCATATTGTGAGATCAGAAACCCAGAGTTCCAAAAGTCCACACTCATAAGAGGACTGCTCTATAGTGAAAAAAAGTATTTTGGTTTCATATGCTAATTGACAATAGTTGCCAGCAACTGTTGATAAAACATTGTGCATAATTTGGAGGGGGAGGATAGAGTATGACCTTTATGTTTTAATATTTGCTTTATTCCCTAATTTTACTTTAAATTAGATTTTAACATTTAGTATTAAACTATTATCTTTTTCACATAAGGTTGTACTGAGCAAGGAGACTGGTAACACATATTTGCCTGAAGATATGCAGTAACTCTCCCAAATGGTTACCTCTATAACTTATGCATCATACTGTATACATAACACTCTATAAAATTGGAAAAAAAAACCCCTAACAATATTGCAAACAAAAGCTTCTTATATTGACAATCACTAGAAAATGATAGCAAAAACAGTCTTTCCTTGTACCACAAGTCTCCAGGTTAAGAGTGCCTTGGTTTAAGAACAATCCATGGTTGATAACAGAGCCTATTATAGCAAAATTGAGTTAAATACACAATGATTTAAGTTAAATATATAATGGTTTATTACACATTATACACTAAACCAGGGGTCCCCAACCCCCAGTCCGTTGACCAGTACCGGGCTGCAGCATGGCAGCAACCAGTCCGCACAAACAAGCAAAGCCCCATCCACGGGATGCAGGCAACATACAAAACCATGTGCCCTCCAGTCCACAGAAAAACCTCTCTCCATGGAACCAATCCCTGATGCCCAAAAGGTTGGGGACTTCTGCACTAAACTGTTCCAGGTTAAACAGAAATTGGGCCTAAGGACAGACTTCAAGAACAGAACTCATTCTTAAACTGGGGACTACTTGTATTACATTCTGATCTCCTAAAATCATTGCATATTCACACAAAAGTTATCTTTCCAGTCTACAGGCAATGAGTTGTATGTATCGTGTATACATCTCAAAAATAGACAACCATTAAGAATAATGCTTGCCATCTAATGATAGAAGGTATTGGGGATTTCCTTCCTCTATACTTTCATTCTTGCAATCAAGCTTTGCAACTTTTTCACTGCACTATACTGTACTATATTTATGCTGTTTTACCTATAAAGAAAAAGCTAATACATTTTGTGAAGACTATAAGAATTTACCAATTAGACAAAATTGTGGATTTTTTTCATTTCCATTTTTCTCCTTTATTCTTAGTTCAGGTCTCAGAAGAGAAAGTAAAAATAAAATACTCATGACTAGAGGCAGAAGGAAATATAACCATTTTATACTGAAACTAAAGTTTATATTGTAAGTTGGCAGATATACTGTAAATCCTTGTGAATTACTTGAAGTAGTGTCTTAATTTATATCAATTTATCCACATTTTAATATCTGGATCAGAGGGCTTTCTCTGTGACCTTTCTTTGAGGGTTCTGTCAAAACAAGACAGAAGGCTCCTTTAGTAAAGCTCTCACACTTACATCTTATCTAATGTTCATCATGCCACACCATTCATTTGTAAGAAAGTTTCAAGACTTGTATTTTGAGTGAATGTATTTTCAGTTCAAAATACTTCCACAACAACTAGGGCAACATATTCTGAAGTTGGAAAAGCTGTTTTAAACCACAGAGTAATATTCTTGAAATAGAATGTTTCAAGTTTGGGATGTTTCAATTTCAAATTATTGTGATATTTTTAAATGATTTTATTATGGTGACTGCTTTGACTTTGTTGATTGATTAGTTCTAAAATTTTAATATATTCATGAAGACATCATTGGAGGGCTTTTTCCATTAAAATGTTTTAAATAATAAACCTAAAATTCCTTAAGCAGAATGTATTCAATTACATATTTTATTCATTTATTAAATTTTTATGCCATTCATCTTACTGATAAGCAACTCTGCATATAATACACCTTTAACTCTATCTGAGAGCAACACTCATTCACTTTGAAAATTAACTGCAAGGCTAACATTCTTAAAAATAATTTTAACACAATGACTTTAAGATAAATGTTACCTTTTTCAAATAAATGTAATTAAAATTATTTAATTACTGCTTATACTGTTATTGAAATAGTAGGAATGAACAGAACTACCCTTCTGTAGACAATAAAATTTCTCTTTGCTATATATCAATAAACATTTAAGAGTTAAGTTACCCAAATTAAAAACCAGAGGCAAATGTAACTCTCAACTGCCTTATAACACTAGGGACATGAAGAATAAATATTTCTCATTCTGTATCTCTAGGAATGTGCAGGAAAGAAATAGAATCACAGGAATGGCAAGATCTTGGAAGTCTTCTAGTCCAAACCCTTGCCTAGCATAGGAGTCCTCCCACCATTGAAAACGTATAATACTGAAGCACCTACAAGGATCAGCTGTTCCACCAATGAGAGAAAAGAAAAATCACAAAGCACACACAGATATACTTTAACCTCCAGCTATTGAACTAGTATGGGAGTGGGAGTAATACAGCTTCTTCTGCTATAATGATACATATATGCAACTGTTATATAGAAATAAAGCTGAATTCTATGACTATTTCATTATGTCTCAGACCTTACCCTATCTAGGGCACACTGCAAAATTGTATTTACTCACTATGAATCATTAGGCAACTTTCCATTTTCTTATGGAAATCTTATTGAAATTAAATATTATTTCTAAAGTAAGCAACTACTGACAATAGTATGTGATAGTCAAATGGTGTCTTTTTTGAAGTGACAATACCCCTTCCAATAATATAATATACTAACATAGTGTTCAGCAACCTTCTTTAATCTGGTGTCACTTCAGTTGCATCATACATTGGACTACAGTTCATGGAGAGTTGAATCCCTCTCCATATCTTACAACACCATTCTCTTTTGATATGGTAACCCTTGCATCTGTGCTTCAGACACGAAATAGAAAGAAATCATACACTAATCATGCACAGAATTTCAGCTGCTAAGAGCCATAGATTAATACATTTGCAAGGCAACACATTGGGGAAGGGAATCCTAGGAAAAAAATTTAATATAGCTGAATTACATTTATTGACTCAAAGTAAGTCAGCACTTTACCTTCTCAACCTTGGCAGTTTTTAAACTCCAGAATTTCCCAACCAGCATCCTAAAGTTGCCAAGGTTTAGAAAGACTACTTTATAGCATCTTTATCCAACCCAGAGAAAAGAGTGACATTCTAAATCTGCCATTCAAGTATAGTAGCTCTGAAAAGCATATGAGAAGCATTTAAACTCTAGACAATTGTACATAGATTATCTGTTATTCACCTAATTTAAAGATTAATTCAATATGAATCCAAAAATCAAAGAGACCATCACTTTTGTAAAAAAAATGTGCTTCGAAGGCAGTTTTGTCATACATGGCAACAAATTACCTACATGTAGCCTTATATCTATATTTAACCAGGAGGGATATACAGATAGTCCTTGACTTGCAGCCATTCATTTGGTGACCATTCAAAGTTACAAAAGAGTGACAACTGGTCCTTGCAGTTACGACCGTTACAGCACGCCCCAGTCATGTGATCATAATTTTGCCACTTGGCAACCAGAATGCATTTAATATGATTGCCATCTGCAACTTTTCCAGTTTTTTTCCCAACAAGCACATTCAATGAGGGGAGTTGGATTCGCTTAAGGCCAGAAGATTCATTTAACAGCTACAATGATTCACTTAACAATTGTGGCAGAAAAGATCATGGAATTGGGTGTGACTCACTTAACAATCATCTTGCTTAATGACAGAAATTCTGATCTCAATTGTGGTAGTAAGTCGAGGACTACCTATAGTAATCCATTAGTTTAATTTACAATAATTGCTGGAAATTTTATAGAGCTTTCTGTTCAATAAATTAAACCATGAACCTTCCATTGTACCTTGTTAAAAAAAACGTATAATCAGATATGTAGCTAAGCAAAACCCATACATATCCCCTGTAGTTCATACATTTTTTAGGAGTACTTTTATGAGTGTTAATTTGTGAATTACTGGAAAACCTCATGTAAAGTTTCAAAGAAATGTATGACACTGCTTGAAATTCTATAGTACTGTCTGCAAATTAAGTTATTTGCTCAATACTGTTTTAAGTACTACTGCCTCTTCATAATCACAACCTCGCTGATAAAATGTTCCAGAGTATCTATTCATCTTCCCTCAATCTCTTCACTAATTTGAGACTACTGTTATTCATTTCCCATTTCCACAATACAAAAATGGGCAAGACTTGAGACTGGCTCAAGCATCTAACTAACATCTTGAAAGAGGAAATACTAGACAATAAACGAATTTTTCTATGTGTTTGTTTCTTTCACGATGAGCTCCTCATTACATCTGTAGAGGAAAAAGGCCAAATACTTCCTCTTCGCTCCACCCCATCTCTCATCAAACTGGCGCACACACACACAATGGGAATGCCCGCACCACCGACAGGAGGAGTGTGACCTAGCACGCAGATAGGCGCGCACCGACGAACTTCTACTCCCTTTCTCTCGGTTACCCCCCTCCCCCTTACGCAGCTCTACAAAGTTTCCTGCATAATTTGGACCACTGCAAACTGGGTCGATTCTCTGAGGGCTAATAAGCTTCGTAGGGAAGGGCGAGCCCTCAGAGGTAGGCCTCTTAAGTCTCGTGTCACTCGCTGCAGCTTGGCCTTACACATGCCGGGCCAGGAGAGGCCGCAGCCTAGAAAAAAAGCCCCGATAATTCTTCCACTCAAGCCCGTCCCAACACTAACACCTCCTCATAGTTCCAGTTAGGGGCCGTGCCAACAACCACCTCCACCCATCAAAGAGGCCGAGCCCTAGCAGGGCCTGGCTGTCCCGCGCTCGCTTGCCGGACTCCATTCCCACCTCCTGGTTGAAGGCGTTCACTGCCTCCATGTTTGTCGGTCGGCGGCCTACGCTACCGCGCGTCGAACTGAAAGGTGGTCGCCGAACGTCGTTTTCAGCAGCGTCCCGCCTTCAAGGCCTCGGCGCTAACATGTCCGTTTTGGCGGCAGCCCGCAGCGACTCGTTGGTGAAGTTTTCGCACAGACTGTCCGTCTGTCTCTCTGTCTCTCCCCCTCCAGCGAAATGGCAAAGTGCACGTCGCGAACAGCACCATGGGATAGCGAGGGCCTCCCAAGCCTCGCGCCACCCATCAGAGGAAGGAGACCGCGGGACAAAAACCATAGACACACAAGCGAGCGATTGCGCACGCGCGCAAGGAAACGCACGAGATTGAGCTTTCTTTTTGCAGTTGTCGGTTTTGCGGAACTACTTTCGAAGACTCTGTTAAGGGCACTCTGTCCTTGATTAATGAACGTTTTCATGACTTGTCTTCATGTTAACGATAAATACGAATATCAAACAGCAGTTAAACTACACGCTAGTTAAAATCAAAAGGGCAATTTAAAAACTTCGGTACTTTGTCCATTCTTACAATTTAAAGACGTCAGAACGAATGTTGTAATCCTGCGGACGGTTGGAAATGAATCCATTGCTGATGGGGATTAAGGTGCTTCAGGGCTGAGGCTTTCTGGGTCTACCAAACCGAAAAATTATACATACTGCAGCTGCCAAAAAAAGCCAATACAGTGCTAGGCTGCATTAACAGGGATAGAATCAAGATCACATGAAGTGTTTGCAGACGGGATGGCATGCCATGTTATGGAATGAGAAGCATAAAGTTCACCAGTACTTCCGGAGGCACTACATCAAAATTGCACGACAGAACTATAGGCAGGTCCCCAATTGGATCTCAACATTAGAAATGTACATACACCCAAGGTTTATTCAGTTGGGGAAAGTAATAACCTATAAAAACATACTAGATGAGAGAGGAGAATTAAAAACGAGGAAGAATCTCCAAAATGCAGGGATAGAATTAGAATGGTGGGTATACCTCCAACTACAAGCAAGATATAGGCAAGATAAAAAAAAGAGTGGGGTATAAAGATAGAATTGACAGAGCTAGATAAAATTTTATTAGGTCCCAAGGATAAAATTATTTAAAAAAATATATCATTTTCTTTTAGATCAGACAATGTATGAAGAACAGGTTAAGGAGACCATGTTAATTTGGAGTAGGGATTTTGGTTTTAGTATCGACCTACATATTTGGCAAGAGCTGTGGGAAAGGAATAGGAAACTCACTTTAGCTACCTCATATAAGGAAAATCTTTACAAGGTGTTCTATAGATGGCATTGCCCACCCATAAGGTTAGCCAAAATGGGTTCAAACATTTCCCCCCTATGCTGGAAATGTAAAACGGCATTAGGTTCATACTACCATATGTGGTGGGAATGCCCAAAGATCCGTGAGTATTGGAACAGGACACGAAACTGGTTGAGGGATATATTAACACTGGACTTAGAGTTAAAACCTGAACTCTTCTTGTTGGGAATAATGACAGAAAAATACGATAAGGGAACAATCTACCTGCTGCTACACATCCTGATTGCAGCTAGGCTTGCTTTAGCACAAAAATGGAAGAGCAAGGAAATTCCCACAGAGGAAGAGTTAATACATAAAATATTAGCATGTGCGGAAATGGACAGGCTTACAATGATATTAAAAGATAAATGTGGATCAGTTTATTATGAAACCTGGGATAAATTTTACCACTGGAGGAATTTGAAGAGGACAGTTGGGATTAAAGGTGAATATTAACATAGAAATATATATTATTGTAGAACAAGTATTGTATATAAAACTTAGATGTATATGTAGAGATGAAGAATTGATTGTAAAAAGTGGAATAATCTGATAAGAATGTATATACTGGAATGTCACATCAAATCCAATGTTTGTTTGTTTTTAATTGTATTATAAATAAAATTTATTTAAAAAAAAGGTCACATGAAGTGTTAGTACCACTTTATAATGCCTTGGTAAAGTCACACTTGGAATACTGCATCCAGTTTTGGTTACCACGATGTAAAAAAAGATGTTGAGACTCTAGAAAGAGTGTAGAGAAGAGAAACAAAGATGATTAGGGGATTGGAGGCTAAAACATAAGGAATGGCTGCTGGAATTGGGTAGGTCTAGTTTAATGAAGAGAAGGATGAGGGGGGACATGATAGCAGTGTTCCAATATCTCAGGGGCTGCCACAAAGAAGAGGGAATCAAGCTGTTCTCCAAAGCACCTGAAGGCAGGACAAGAAGCAACGGATGGAAACTAATCAAACAGAGAAGCAACCTAGAACTAAGAAATTTCCCGACAGTTAGAACAATTAATCAGTGGAACAACCTGCCTCCAGAAGCTGTGAATGCTCCAACACTGGAAGTTTTTAAGAAGAGACTGGACAGCCGTTTGTCTGAAATGGTAAAGGTTTCCCTGCCTGAGCAGGGGGTTGGACTAGAAGACCTCTAAGGAACCTTCCACATCATCATCATTATTATTATCAGTGCTTTTTTTCAAAAAAAAAAAGGTGTAGGAACTCACACACGTCATACAACCCGTCTTGCCTACCTTACAAGGTTCCATCCAAAAAAGGTGCTGGAACTCCGTTCTGGGTGTTCTATGAGAAAAAAAGCCCTGATTATTATTACATCTGTTCAATCGCCTCTGACCAGAGGTGTTTTTCAGGTAAAAGGTTCTTAGTAGAGCTAGCACATAAAACAAAGATTTGCCTCTTCCTCCTTTCTGGCCTCTCTAGTGGAATACTGGTAGTGCTCGACTTACAGCAGTTACTTTAGTAAGCATTTCAAGTTAACAACAGTAACGAAAAAAGTGACACATGACCATTTTTCACACTTAAAACTGTTAAACATCCCCTTGATAAAAATTAAGATGTATGGCAACTGATTCGTATTTATGAGAGTTCCAGTGTCTTGGGGTCATGTGATCACCTCTTGTGACCTTCTGACAATTCAACGGAGAAATCAGATTCACTTAATGGCTGTGTTACTAACATCTGCACTGATAAAATCCTGTGGCAAGAACGATCACAAAATGGGGCAAAATTCACTTAACTGTCTCACTTAGCAACAGAAATGTTGGTCTCAGTTGTGGTTGTAAGTTAAGGACTACCTGTACATGATGGAAGTACCAGCCAGGTGGTGATTATGAATTAAGAAATTCTGTCCAAACATCTGTATTTGATTTATATACAGCCCTTAAGTTCAAATTGGAAACTTAAGTCACTGTACAGTTTAATAATACAAAATGCAAAAGATATAAACAAACCAAATTGTAAAATCTGTCTTTAAAAGAGTTATAGCTAAAAATAAGACTTTATAACCTTTTTCATCAAAAACAGTAGGGACCAAATCATAACTCACAAGGGAATGTATCCTACATTTTTGAAATTGATGTAAGAGAAAACATTGTTTCATAATAAATGAGTCCCATTTTCAGGCCCTGTCCTGCATTTTCTAATATCCAGACAGGTTGGTAACAGATGAAGGTTCTTTAAATCAGGGATCCCCAACCCCCAGTCCATGGACCGGTACCGGGCCGCAGCATGCCAGTAATCGGGCCACACAAACAAGCAAAGCCCCATCCGTGGGATGCAAGCAGCACACAAAACCATGCCCCCTCCGGGTCCGTGGAAAAACCTCTCTCCGCGGAACTGGTGGTGCCCAAAAGGTTGGGGACCTCTGCTTTAAATAAATCAATTTAGACATTTAAACATAAATATCAACACCTTAAACTGAATGAAAAATGAGTTACAATCATTGCAGATCTTTCACTACAGATACCATGTAGACAGGATAATATGCAGAAGATGAAGGAAGGAAAGAAAAAATTACTTGCTGGAGTAAAAAGCCTTTGTATTGTCCAATGTATTTTAGGGTACATTAGTCTGTTAGGTACAATATGTGATGTAATCCAAATAAAATGTTCTAATATAGTAGAAATGCATTGGATTAATCAAAGAGTCATTATTTCCAAAGAATGGTTTCTGTTTTGTTCTGTTGTGTGGTATTTTCTCTTCTTCAGGTCCAGTTTTCAAGAGTAGCCACAAATAGAGGACGCTGCAATGCTCAAGTCAGTTTGTATTTAAGGCATAGAAAATTTTATCAAAACAAAATGGGTAATTCAACAGTTGCAGCTACGTACTAATTGTAACTGCATTCCTTACTATAAGACTCAATAAGCACTAAATTAGGAGCAATTTAGTCTTGAATATGTTTTTTATTTTGCTGTTTTACCCAGACCATTATGAAGCACAAATATAATTCAAGAACAGAGGTTGTTTTTTAGAGTTAAGTTTGCAAATGGAATAGCATTAAGGCTTGAATTAACTGTTCCAAAGTTTCATGGAAATCTTGACCAGCATGAGACTCAAGATAATTTACACCAGCAAACCCTAAGGGGAGGTTTGGAATGATCATAAAATAGCTGTTCCAAGGCCAAATTCTCCCAGGTTATCTAAAAGGATGCCTGGGTCAATTACACTAAAAGCAATCAAAAAAACAATCAAGGGAGGTGTTTTGGTTCTTCCTGCTCAAAACAGCATACAGAACTTAATTTTGTGCCAATCCTGAAACACAAACGATATGTACAAACAGGTGGGATTGCACATGGGAAAAATTTCAGTGAGCAATTCCTTTTTAAGCCAATGAATACAAATCTGTAAGTGAAGAGACTGTACACCTAATTAAACAAGGCAATACGTGCTTGCCACATATCAAATTCCAGCACATTTGCACTGCAGAAAGATTAGTTAAAAAGAGCAAATAAAAGCAACTAGGCTTCCTGTTTGAATATTCCCAGTTACATTTCTTTTTCCTTTTGACCAAAATCCTCACAATTTTATATAATACCGAGGATAGGAGAAAGCTGCTCTCTTAAAGGGACTGTTGCCTTATCCACTGAAACAAAATGTTTGTCATGTGTGTAGCCAAGAAAATCAGATAATTATCTAGCAGCTGAAGCACATTTCTAACTTTCATTATGCTCCTGTCCTTCCTTATTTTTTAAATTTTACAAGGAGTTTACAAAATGGTCTCCATCTGCCATTATTTCTTCCTCATTTTTCTTTCCAAAGAAAATTTGAGGTGTTTCTAGGTTAGAATTATAGTGTCAAAACATCTTATTTTAAAAGGATTTAACTATTATACAATATTCCTTGTTGTCTTTCATCTTATCTCAGATAGCAGGCTCTGTACTTCTGTTTATAAAAACAA